CTGTTGCTTCTGAAAATACAAAAATTAGCTGGCATGATGGTGTATGCCTGTAATCCCAGCCACTTGGGAGGCTGAGGCAGGAGAATCATTTGAACTCAAGAGGCAGAGGTTGCAGTGAGCTGAGATTGCACCATTACACTCCAGCCTGAGCGACAGGAGCAAAACTCCATCTCTAAATAAATAAATAAAAGAACAAATGAAATCAAAATTTTGAGATGAAATACATGAACTGCCTTGAAGAATTTCCCTTTGGCATGTTCCGAGTTAAATTTGTACCAAGTAGCGTTGATATGTTGCCATTAATATATGCTAATTGTATGTTGCCCAGAACATACCTTTAGATAACATAATTTCTTTAATTTATGAAGAAAAGAGAAGACCTGAGCTCATTCCTGAGGATCTACATCGCCACTATATCCAAACAATGCAAGAAAGAGTCCATCCAGAAGTTCAAAGGCACTTAGAAGACTTTCGGTAAGCATAGTGGTAGATAGAATTTGATATGATGATTCTAAATTAATTTTTTTAGGTAAGAAAAAGTTACACATTAAATACTTAGCTTAGCACTAGATAAACCATATAGTCTTATTGTTACTAAAACATAATGAACATCTGGAGCCAAAGGGTTAGAGTGGAACTAAAAGTCCAGATTCTCCATACCAGGCACTTTCAGTATCTGAACTCAGTGCCATGTCTATGCTAAGTGTGTTCCTGTAAGATATTATATGTGTTCTTGGAGACATTGCCTCTTGAGTTTTTCTCCCTCTAGTATCCTAGACGACATGAACCCATAGGTGGAAATTTTGCCTGTTCCTAGAAACCATAGCTATGGAGATTGTGATGAAATGTCCCAGGGTGAGGTAGTTTTTCTTTAGGCTACCTCAGGAAACTTCTCTGTTCACTTTAGGCAGAAACGTAGTATGGGACTGACATTGGCTGAAAGTGAGCTGACTAAACTTGATGCAGAGCGAGACAAGGACCGGTTAACTTTGGAGAAGGAGCGGACATGTGCAGAACAGATTGTGGCCAAAATTGAAGAAGTATTGTAAGTAATGGAAGTACATGTGGCAACGCCTTCTCTATTGAGATGCTGCTTATGCTTGAAGTACCTTTTGGGCACATTTAGAAAGCTGTCAGCTTGTGTATGTGGAGCCGTTTATTTTGTCGTAGTACTTGAGAAACTGGAATTTTGTTTTTCTTTTTTCTGATATTTTAGGTAAATGTCTGTATTCCTTTTTCTGGGTGTTGGTAAATGGGTAACTCTAAAATTTCTAATCAGTGATAAAAAACAGGTTGATTACTTTCATTATTTTCAATGTATGGGCCTTGGACATATTTCTTGCTATGAAACATGTGTAGTAGGTGACATGAGGGTGAAACACATGTGGTTCTTTAGGGGATTAGGGTTATTTTGGTATTCTAGGATGTGGCCCAAATCATTTGGCTCTGTTCTGTTGTTTCAGATGTCTGAGTTAATAACAATTTTTAAGGCCAAGCATGGTGGCTCACGCCTGTAATCCCGGCACTCTGGGAGGCTGAGTGTGCAGATTACTTAAGGCCAAGAGTTCAAGACCAGGCTGGCCAACATGGTGAAACCCCATCTCTACTAAAAACCCAAAAATTAGCCAGGCATGGTGGCGCATGCCTGTAATCTCAGCTAGTTCAGGAGGTTGAGGCATGAAAATCACTTGCACCTGGGAGGTGGAGGTTTCAGTGATCATGCCATTGCACTCCAGCCTAGGCAGCAGAGTGAGACTCGCTCTCAAAAAATAAATAAATAATTAAATTAAACTTCTATATTTCATTTTTAAACTTTTTTTTTTTTTTTCTAGGATGACTGCTCAGGCTGTAGAGGAAGATAAGAGGTAACATAATTGTTTTTTTTTTTCCCAAGAATTTTAAGAAAAAAATAAGCTATGTTTTTTTCTTTCAGCCCTAAATCACAATTTATTTAACTTACAAATAAAGATTGTGGTCTCCCTCTGGTGGCTTGTGTGTTATTTGACTAATATTCTACTGTTGTCCTGAGTAGAATTCTTTTCTCTGTGCAATGACTAGATAGTTGTTTAGTTTTTGTTTGATTAATTTCAATAATTTCAAGCTTGGGGTTTTGGAAATCATTTGATGTCTTTATTCTACCAACCCTCCCTTCTCAGAAGTCTTAATTTACTTCATCCTTTCTCCTCCAGTTCCACCATGCAGTATGTTATTCTCATGTATATGAAGCATTTGGGAGTAAAAGTGAAAGAGCCTCGAAATTTGGAGCACAAGCGGGGTCGGATTGGATTTCTTCCAAAAATCAAGGTAAGACTAAAATAATGTAATAGCATGTTTAGGCCTTACGGCTTCTTTACATCTGGTTGCAGTGTCTTCCATTGTCTTAGTATTTACTTAATCAGCAAATTAATGCTAGTTATACCAACATGTATACAATATTATTTCTGTTCTCAAGAAACTCAAAATCTAGTGAAAAATCCAGACATATAAACTAATATTAGACAATGTGAAAAGTGAAATTAGCAGTTTACCAAGAGTGCTATTTCTGATTCTGTTCATGCCTTATACTTTTACTTTGCCGGAACTAATTACCCCTATGTTGTTACATAATTTTCATAAACATCTTTAGTGGCAGTATTCTGTCAGTTTGTAATTATTTGTGTTTTTGTTTAGGATTTATTAGATTGGAAAGCTGTGTGAATACAAGGACCTTTATTATTGTATTCTCAACTGTTAGTATGACACTTAGTAAATATTTGTTGAATGGATGAATGAATTCTTAATAGAATAAGTTCCTGGTAAATGTGCTATAAAACTACCCTTTGCTTTTTCCAACTGTCAGTGATAAAGGATTTGTGAAAACATCTTGAGTTTGAGGTGTACATGGCACTGTGTGAACTTTTAATGAGCATTCTGTGTATGTGCATACATATGCATGGGTTTTCATTTACATTTAACAATTTTTTTGAGCTAACCATTAGCATTACACTATGAAAATAGCAAAAGAAATTTACTCTGTTACATATCTCTTATTTTTTGTACTTCAACTCTAGCAAAGTATGAAGAAAGATAAAGAAGGGGAAGAAAAAGGGAAGCGAAGAGGATTCCCCAGTATCCTGGGACCCCCACGGAGACCAAGCCGTCATGACAACAGTGCAAGTATGTTGACGTTTGAAGTGGTATGTTTTCAGTATTCCAGACCCTCTTCATATCAGAGGCTTCTTGGCTAGAGTGACTTTCTGGAAAAAGGAGTTGTTAAGATGATGTTGCTGAACTCTTAATATGCCTTGTTTCTGTTCAGCATTATTTCTGAACTGAGTACCCCCTATCTTGCTACATAATTGTCATGAACATCTTTAGAGGCAGTATTCTGTCGAATGTCCATAACATAGTTTACTTACCTCTTCTGATTCTGTTTGCTTTCAACTTGTGTTCGTTAAATTTTTTTAAAGAAGTGTGTATATGCCTCTCCACCACATGTTTAGTCTCTTTATACATACTTACTTAGTCTCCTTACTTCTAAAATTTCTCCACATCTCCAGTTTATTTTCTGATTTTCCTTCTGCCTCAGGCCCAATGAAGAGAGATCAGCCCACTTGGGTTGGCTGCAGGAGAAATAGAGATGGGAAGGGGTCATGTGATGGTTCTTATCTCAGGCAGTACCACATTTGAAAACACTGAAGCCAGGTGCAGTGGCTCTTGTCTATAATTCCAACACTTTGCGAGGCCAAGGTGGGAGGATCATTTGAGCTGGGAGTTCGAGACCAGCCTAGGCAACACAGAGAGACCCTCCTCTACAAAAACAACCACCACCACCAAAGCGAGCTGGGTATCATGGTGTATGTATGTAGTCCAAGCTACTTGGGAGGCTGAGGTAGGAGGATTGCTTTAGTCTGGGGAGTCAAGGCTGCTGTGAGCCATCATCTCATCACTAAACTCTAGCCTGCATGACAAAGTGAGACACTGTCTCAATAAAAAAAAGATATTGGCATGGTAGGGTGGTGGGAGTGAAACTGTGATAGTGAATGTCCCACACAATGAGGAGTCCTTACTCAAATGCCAGTAGTGCCCCTTGTTGGGAAACATGGAGAAGGTGGGAAATTTTCAGAGAAAGTTAAAGAGATGGTGGATTTCACAGATGCTATCCATGAGTTCCAAGGCATATAAAAGAAGAATTTGAGGAATTAGGGAAGGTGGGGTTAGATTAGGGTATAAAAAGTTGTGTGAGGGTGTAGAATGCTATGGAGGATGAGGACCATAGTGGGAGTCTTTGGCTTCTTGTGGTGACTTTGTGAACAGGATAATTAGCAGGATGGGGATTGGTCTGGATGATCTTCAGGCACATTGTGCTGATGAAGTTGTGAGTGTTGGGGGAGAACTGGGATGGCAGCTTACTAAGAACTCACAAAAATAAAGGACTTCATCTTCATTCTTACAAATGAACAAAGCTCCACGTCTGTCTCTCAGCATTCCTCCTCCCTCTGTCCATGACTGCTCTCCTTATTTCCTTTTCTCATGACCCTCCTTCTTTCCCCACATCCTCCTCTTCCTCACCCTCATCCCTCCTCCATCTCCCCATCTTTCTCCTCTACCCTCCTCTCCCTTTTCTCTTCTCTTCTTCCTTCCTTCATCTGTCTGTATGTTTCTCTGTATAATAATTCACTATATATATTTTTAGGGTCCACCATGTTTCAGACATTGTTCCAGATTCTTTTACATTGTCGTTTTTTCCTTTCAGCTAGTTTGCAATACAGACTATTAACCATCATTTTCTGTTCAGTTGGCAGAGCCATGGAACTACAGAAGGCGCGCCACCCTAAGCACTTATCCACACCCTCATCTGTGAGTCCTGAACCTCAGGACTCTGCCAAGTTGCGCCAGAGTGGGTTAGCAAATGAAGGAACAGACACTGGATACCTGCCTGCCAATTCCATGTCTTCTGTAGCTTCAGGGGCCTCTTTTTCCCAGGAAGGAGGGAAAGAGAATGATACAGGTGAATCAATGCTATATAGTTCAGCTCAACTAAGCATCAAGATTTCAAAACAAACACAGTAACTGAAAAGGAGAGTGGCAAATTATTTTAATCAAGACTAAATCCTAGTTTAATTTTAACATTTTAATATGGTACAACCAATAATAAATCTGTGCTGAATGATAATTTTAGTTCTTATTTGTCCAAAAAGTATTTATTAAGCTCTCTGTCAGGCATTAGCTTTGTCCCGGATGTTAATGTGCAATAATTATACACAGATGCTTGCCTCATGCAACTTTCTCTCTTGAGAGTGATAGTCACAGATATAAAAGTTGTAAATTGTGCTAAGTCCAGTTAAGGAAAGGTAAAGGGAATATTGAGGTCAGTAACTGGTCAGTAGTTAGAGGCAGATGTAGATGTCTAAAGAAGACTTTTTAAAAATCTGAGATTAACTAGAGATTTTATTTTTAAATGTTAGTAGGAAGCCAGCTGAAAGAAAAGGTAGAATATGTGGGAAAGATATATAAGTAGTAGAATAGAGTTGTGAGGAGAGAGGAGATGAGATTTAGAGTGTATGTAAAGGATAAGACTGTTTACTGAGAGTAAGAGTTCAGTAAGAAGAGCAAAGGAATTTGAAGAGTAAAGAAGGATATGAAGTAATTATTGTAGATAATTGGGCAAGGGGCTATTACCATATCTTCATCCTTGTTCTAATGGGTTTCTTAAGCAAGTGAGCTGGGATAATAGGTGGTTTTATTTGAAGAAGGGAATGCCTGTCTATACCAGTGATTCAGGAGGTGGTTCAATTTCTGGTGGTGACATGATCAAGAATGAAGCTCTGGGAGTGGTCCCTGCGGTGCCATAGAGGAGGCTGCTAGGGATGAAGACAGCAAGGAACCAAGGAGCCAGGAATTTGAATACCTCAATATTCATGGGGTTTGAGGTTACCAAGTGTGACTTTTTTCATGGAGAGGAAAACTGTGAGCCATAGGTTTAGCATTGCTAGATGAATGTTGTAAGGATGAAGAACATGTGATAATATCCAGAGCATGAGAGCCTCAATGGAGCAAGAGATTATACAAGAAGACAAGTCTGGCACAGTGGCTCACGCCTGTAATCCCAGCACTTTGGGAAGCTGAGGCAGGTGGATCACCTGAGCTCAGGAGTGTGAGACAAGCCTGGCCAACATGGTGAAACCCTGTCTCTCCTAAAAATCCAAAAATTAGCCAGGCATGGTGGCATGCACTTGTAATCCTAACTCCTTGGGAGGCTGAGGCAGGGGAATCGCTTGAACCCAAGAGGCAGAGGTTGCAGTGAGCCAAGATTGCTCCATTGCACTCCATCCTGGGCAACAGAGCGAGACTCTGTCTCAAAAAAAAAAAAAAAGAAGAAGAAGAAAAGATAATGGTCCAAAAATCATATTGAGGAAAAGAAGGCCATCCATCTCATCTCCACCCTGACATACACAATGTAAGACAGAAACACCAGTTTCTGTCTCAGAGGGCTGTAGCAGAAGAGGTAACCCCCTGGGAATAGGTAGGTTTCTACATAAGGCAAAAAAGTACAAGTGACATTCGGAAAAAATTTTGGGGATTTTGTCAAATATAGAACTCTGAAGTTGTTAGATTGAGTATATGCATTGATATTTCATGGCTCCCAGGACTCATTAAAATAAAAACATAGTAGGTGACAGATAAACAGAAACCATAAAGAGAAAGAAAGTAGAGGAAGGGAATATGTTATCAGGAAATAAGAGATTTTAACAAATACTTGGGAGATTGAAAGCAGGCAAGAGTAATTTGATGGATAAAATGTAAAGGAGTGGGCATGGTGGCTCACTCCTATAATCTCAGAACTTTGGGAGGCTGAGGCAGGAGAATTGCTTGAGCCTAGGAGTTCAGGACCAGCCAGGGCAATGTGATAAGACCCTGTCTCTACACTACAAAAAAATGAAAAAGTCAGCTAGTCAGATGGCATGTGCCTGTAGTCCTAGGTAATCTGGAGACTGAGGTGGGAGGATCACTTGATCCTAGGAGGGCAAGGCTGTAGTGAGCCATGTTTGTGCCACTGGACTTCAGCCTGGATGACAGAACAAGACCCTATCTCAGAAACAACAACAACAACAAAGAACCACAAGGAAAAATCATAAGGAAAGTCAGAGCCCATAATTTATTTAAATAGTTTAAGATAGAAGCCAATCTGCTCATTGGAACCCTGGAGAGACTTTGGGCTCAGAGTTCACATATGTTATACAGTGCAGGAATAAGAAATAGAGCTGAAAATGAAGAACTAATTGTAGATCTGTAATCAAAATAGTTATGTCAGCAGCTTCTAATCCCTTCATTATAGAGCAGTCTCTGTCACTTGTAGACTGGAAGAAAAAAACAGTGTGCTCTTTTTTAAAATAATTGAGTGAATTGTGTAGGGAAAGTTTAGTCCCGCCGCAGTGTTGATGGCTTGGACATTTGGGAGCCCAAAGCCTGACGGTAGGCATGCCAGTGACTTATTGTGCTTAGAGAGCTCTCAACTGTAATAGACCTGTTTCTAAATAGCAGCAGGAGAAAGCCAAGTCAGCCACTCACTTTCATCATTAAATACAAGCGTCATTACTCACTCTTGTTGTCAAGACATAAGATAACATATAATGCCAAACATATCAGACAGTGAAATAAAGACAGAATACAAACAAACAGAAAAACTTCCCCTAGAAGAAAAAGATAATTTGATAATAGACAAGAACTTAAGAAAATACTTCTAACTTAGGTAATATACTTGGGGACTTTAAAGAAGTTATCTCTATAAAGCAAGAATAAGGAGAAGCATTCAGAGACAAAAAAATTTTTGATACAACTATTAAACACAGTGACATCTGTTATATTACCAATTTCTGTGTGATAAATTACCCCAAAACTTAATGGCTTAACACAAAAAACATTTATCTTTTTGGTGGATGAAGAACTCTAGAGCAGCTTAGCTGGTTGGTTCTGGGTTGGAGTCTGTCACAAAGTTGCAGTCAAGATATATCAGCCAGTCATCAGAAAACTTAATGGGTAGCCCATTTCTATGGCCACTCAGGTGGCTGTTGGCAAGAGGCCTTAGCTCCTTGCTCATGCCCCTGGCCTCTTGCCACATGGACTTTTCTGTAGAGATACTTGAGTGTTCCATGAAATAGTAGCTATCTTTTCCTGAGTAACTCAAAAAAGAGAGCAAAAAGGAAGCTCCAGTGTCTTTCTGACTCAGTCTCTGTAGGTGCACTCTGTCACTTCCGCAAGTTGGAAGCAAGTCACTAAATCTAGCCCACACTCAGGGAGGGAGGAATTAGGCTCCACCCCTGAGGGGAAGAATATAAAAAAATGTGTTGATATGTTTTCAGACAACCACAACTGTCAGTATTTAAAGGAAAAAAGAGAAGTCCATAAAATTAAAGTCAAGGAAATATTTTAAGAGTGTACATCAGAAATATGAAAGGATAGAAATTTGAGAGAAAAGAATTATATAGAGAGCCACTACAGAGGGCCAACATCTGTCTCTTTCACAAAAATGTCAGCTGAGGACATGGAGAAGAGATAAACAACAGGAGAATGTTTCCCAGAGTTGAAAAAGAACACCCATCTTCAGGTAGAAAGGGCCTACTGAAAACCATCTATAATGAATGCTTTTTAAAAAATCCATTGCTAACATGTCCTTTGAAATTTTAGTACACCAGGGATAAGTCCTAAAAGCTTTCAGAGAAAAAAACAATGGGGATTATGCTGCATCACATGCCTCATCCTAACACTGGGTTCTGAAATAAAAAAGCCATGCCTTCAACTTCCTGAAGGAAAATGGTTTTGAACTTAGCATCCTATATCCATCCAAGCTCTTCATCAAATATGAAGAAAGAATAAAGACATTTTCAGATACGCAGGGATCCACAGTTTAACCAGAATGTACCCTTCCCTTTAAAATCATTTGAGGATACACATTCCAGCAACATGAGAGAAACAATTAAGAAAGAATATGTCACGAGATCCTGGAAACACCCAGGAGAGTGGCAAAGGGCAGTTCTAAAATGATGGTTGTGTCACAGGCCAAGGGAGCCACTGCTCCAGGTTGGAACACAAGAACATCACGGATCAGAAAAGGGGGATCTTAGGCAGTGGATAGCATGAAGCTGCAGAGGTAATAAATGTTCTGTTTGAAGTGGCCTATGGATTGCATCATTGGACCCATAGGAAAAAACATATAATCCTAACTAGTATACTTCTTAATTTGGCAGGAATAATGTATATATGGATGTTGTAGATGATGCTATATATATGTCATAAGCACTCTTCGTTGGTTTTCAGACTTAGAATCACCCTACCAGCCTAAATGGAATAGTTCATTATGGCTGCAGATTAGAATATCAATGTAAAAAATTCTTTTAATGATGCAAGTAAAAATGTAATTGAAAGAAATGAAAAGTAGAAAGAAGGAAACACAATTAGAGGGAGGGAGGATGTTGACACTGAATACCTAATCCGACACAGAAGAGCGTTGAGGTACTAACTTTTTGATAGTACAAAAACATAGATATGTCATTTATATTTAGGTAGTAACTAATAATCCAGCTAGTAGTATTGATAAAACTGTTAAATATTGGGAAGAAATGGGGGGAAAGTGAAGGTGGAAAGTGTAAGTCAATAAAATCCTCACAGGGGAAAGAAATAGTTATTACCTAAAGGTAATAAATCCTGAAAAAGAGGTTATTATTTGTAGTTGTACTACTATAATAACTCACATTTGAAAGCATGGAGAATTGATACTGAGGGTAGACAAGGATAGCATGGGAGAATGTTGTTCCTCATCGTATACTCTTCTGCACTATGTGAGTCATCACTATTTCTTATGTTAATTTTTAAGAAGCAATTTTAAAAGTGATTTTTCTGACCAAGCATGGTGGCTCACACCTGTAATCCTAGCACTTTGGGTGGCCAAGGCAAGAAGATTGCTTGAGCCCAGAAATTCAAAGCTAACCTGGGCAACATAGCAGAACCCCATCTCTATGAAAAATTTGAAAATGAGCCAGGTGTGGTGGCACACAACTGTAGGCCCAGCTACTTAGAAGGCTGAGATGGGAGGATCACATGAGCCTGGGATGCCGCAGTTTTGTATATTAAATTTTTAGCTCTAGTGAACCTGCAGTTGTTTAAATAAGAATGTAGCTATGGATTAGGTTGAAGCTCCTCTGGGAACTAATTTTTTTTGGTGACCAGTGACTTTATTAAGTGGTAACACTCTTCAAATGTCTGACTTTTGTCTACAGGATCAAAGCAAGTTGGAGAAACACCAGCACCTGGAGACACCTTAGATGGGACACCTCGTACTCTCAATACTGTCTTTGATTTCCCAGCACCTCCATTAGACCAAGTGCAGGAGGAGGAATGTGAAGTAGAAAGGTAATTCAGTGATATCTTACAGAGGCTTAGAGCATTACCTATAAAATATATATTATTTCCATACTTTTGTGGCATTCTAGCACTTAAGCCTGGCATGGTGGTATGTGCCTATAATCCCAGCTACTTGAGAGGCTGAGGCAGGAGAATCAGTCACTTGAACTCAGGAGTTTGAGACCAGCCTGGGCAACATAGTGAACCCCCACTTCAAACTGTAAAAAATAAAATAAAATAAATAAATAAGTTGGGTGTAAAAAAGAACTAAAACACCATTTCAGAACTTGTTACTGAAATTTAGAAAGGTACTCAAATTTTCTTCTATTTATTTTATATTAAATTATTACGATATCCCAAAGAATTATTTATCAAGCTGTTGAAGTGTAACCTAGCTTTGAGTGTCTTTAGTATAAATCTCTTGATCACCATTTTGTTTTCATGTTACTCTTTCCTCTCCATTGTTTTAGGGTGACTGAACATGGGACTCCAAAGCCCTTTCGAAAGTAAGTAAATCCCAAGCAGCTTTCAATAAACGCACATTTTAAGAAACATAATCTTTTTCCCTCTAAAGTTTTATTTTAAAAGAAAAGAAACCCTATATACAAATCTGTTATATAGTTTAAAAGACAGCTCTTAAGAAACACCAGTCATTCAAAAGCTGTGTTTTGAAGTATATATAAGTCAGCCATTTGTAGGAGAGGATGAAATTTCAGGCTCTGTGCTAAGTCCGATTCAGGAATCTGATTAGAATTTATTGTAATGTAAAGACTTGGGCTGTTTCCCATTGTCCACCTGAAGTCCTCAAATTGAATTCACCGTTTTTCTTCAAAGGTTTGACAGTGTAGCTTTTGGAGAAAGTCAAAGTGAGGATGAACAATTTGAAAATGACTTAGAGACAGATCCGCCCAACTGGCAGCAGCTTGTTAGTCGAGAAGTGTTATTGGGACTAAAACCTT